TTGATCGGCACCCCCCCCCCCCCCCCCTGCGCGTAAGAGAGAGCCTTTCCCTTTAGGAATCTTAACTCCTTAAAAGAGGTTTCCCTTTATAAGGGGGTGAAAATCCCTTGAGTTTTTCGGTGTGGGATAAAACACACTAGAAACTCACCATTTTCCCAGTTTTTCCATTTCAACGAGTGAACTTCGAGAATCAATTTTTCATTCACCCGTTATCCGTTTTGAGTGTACCATATATCGAATTGTAGCCCTTAACAAGGACAATCCGAAACCACTTTGACCCGACCCAAATCGGAAGTGGACCCCACTCAAATAATTGCCCCAAAAAGACCATTTAATGCAATTTTAACACATTTTTCCAACAAGTATTGCTAATAAGTTTAAAATGCATATATGCTCTAATAAAAAAAGAAGTATTGTGCAAGAAGATCAAATCTTCAGGGGCACCTAACTAATAATAATAATAATATTAATAGTATTAATCATAATAATAGTAATGATAATAATAATAACTAATAATAATAATAGTTTTTATTTGTTGTTTTTCAAGCAAAAAATTATTTGTAACTATTTAGGTTGTTATTTATAAGTACATTTCTTGAATTGTGTAAAAAGTGTTTAAAATTTGATTCTACAATAATAAACAAATATGTGTTTGGTATACTTTCATTAGACAAACTAAGCTATTGAAATTTATAGCATTTTTATGCACTATTTTATATGTTATTAGGATATCATATTTCAAAAATGTTTAATTAAATAATGCTATCATTAACATATAGTTAAAGATAATGATATTTTCCTAATAATCATGTTTATTAGCTTTTCCGGTCTTATTTATACTCCGTAACTTTTTATTATATATTACTGTTGGGATTATAGTTTGCTGAGTGGATAACGAGTTTGGGAGATGGAACGGATGGTGGTGAAAATGATGGTTGTACATAGTATGTGTCTTGATTTTGAAGATATGCCGACTGACCCGTCATTCCTAAAACGACATGCTATTTTGGCCCCAACACTTGATGTCGTTGATTTAATTCATGAGTACATGACTACGTTGAACGTGACAGAGGAGTCTAGGACATATTTAAGTTCTGATAGCATTTGCAAATCAGATACAAATTCAGATTTCTTGGCTGATTTGCACACACCAGAATTCTTGAATAAGATACGTGCATCCGTTGTTCCAAATCACGAGTTGACTCTGAAGGTTGGTACTCCAGTTATGGTTCCAAGGAACATTGATCATTCTATGGGTTTATGCAACTGCACGAGGTTGATTATTACAAGGCTTGGAAATCATGATCTTGGAGCATCAATTTTAGGAGGAAAATTTGATGGACAAGAAGTGGTCATTCCTAGATTGACACTAACACCTTCAGATGCAAGAATATCATTCAAGTTTCAAAGAAGGAAATTTTCAATCATGACCTCTTATGTGATGACTATAAATAAAAGTCAAGGTTAATCTCTGTCACATATTGACCTGATACTAAGAAACCAGTCTTCACTCATGGTCAACTTTACGTTGCAGTGTCAAGAGTTACCAATCGTAAAGGGTTGAAGATATTGATCCGTGATGTGGATGACCAATAAATTGATCATACTACTAAAATTGTTTACAAAGAAGTATTTCAGAATTTGTAGTTTCATTATGTACACTTATTATTTTTCTTACCACTTTGCACTTTCATATGTTATATCTCTCTTAACTACTAGCACTTATATATTACTTACCACTTTATTATGAGTTCAATTATTTTTGCGTTTTTATAAGACACTTCTTAATCACAGATTGGTAAAATTTCATCCGCGCATCGCGAGGGTGAGAATCTAGTGGCATACAAAATGTAATCAACAAATGCATGAAGTTGGTTAGAAAATAGTGGGCACGTAATCAAAAAATGCATGAAATCCGCTATAGTGGGCAAGTTTTATACTACCTCCGTCCCTTAAAACTTTGCCAAAGTTGACCGGCACGGAGAATAATAAAATAAAAACTGTGTGGTTGAGGTTTGTGCAGAGGAGAGAGAAATAACAGAAACTCCAAAAAAATTGATTAAAAGGGAAAGTGCTAAAGTTTTTTGGGACGTCCAAAAAAGGAAAGATGACAAAGTTTTAAGGGACGGAGGGAGTATGACAGGACTACAATCAATAGCTGATGGGTCAGATAAGGCTTAGGCCCAATAATAATGTTTCAGCTCAGTTTGTAGCGGTAGTAGACTGAAGTACTGATTGAACACATCAACACTCTGATCGTACTCATACATATATTTTGTCTTCAAAAGCGATGTATAGATCAACCTTTATGTTCGTATTCATGTGATTTGTATTGTACCTATGCATGGGAAATATTTCCAGATCTCATTTCAAGAATTGAATCTATCAAGTTTCATAGTTGGTTCATAACTTTATGCTAAAGTTTGTACTTATATTAACTGTATGAATTTAATGTCTGCGCTTGAGACATTAAAGACTTTTTATTGTCTACTTATGGACAGTATTCCATAATTCAACAAGCATTATAAATAAACTTAACACTCAGTGATCAAGCATTTGATATGTCACTAAAAAACAAGATTACACATAGGTAATACCCGATTGTCACCAATATTTAGGAATAATGCTTAATAATCAAAAGAAGGAATTTTACATGTTCTTTTCTTTCCCAATATCCTAATCGTAATAATTACAAAGCATCATAGTCTAACTACTTCCATCTTGATGCATACATCAGTAACTTCATCGTCATTTTTAGCGGTAGCTATTAACGTCTTCCTTCAAAACTTCACTCAATTCTTTACCCATCAGTACAAATTCAGCAAAATTGATGACAAATATTCAACGGTTGTCCCTGCAAGTGTTTAAACCTAAAGGTAAGCATTTTTAATGTATTAAGTTATGTAAAGAATGTCAAAATACACCCGACATACCCATCATCTTACTGTGGACAAATATGAACCACATTGATACAAACCGATATTTCTAAATTACTGTCTTATTACGGATTGGTTAATGCCTATAAGTAGCCCTTAATCAGAACTAGGGGTGGGCACGGGACGAGAATTAGACTATCCCGGTCCCGAACCCGGTTTAGGATAACGGGACAGGACAAGATGTTGTCCTGGTGTTTTCCCTTTTAAACCGGTACCGGAACAAAATGGGACGGTTCGGGACATCCAAAAAAATTGCAGTTAAAAAAATACAGCTCTAAAAAGAAACTTCATGACAAAAACTACAACACTAAAAATGCAACACACACAAAAATTTACGATAAATGCAATACAAAAAATAGTAGATTAATTGGATAGTTGCACGAAACAAACCGTAACAACAACAATTAACTCCAACACACACAATACTACTAAGAAACTACAAAAATAAATAAAAAAGACAAACAATATTATTAGAAATGAAACATGTGAAGTATAAGTGAGTTTCTTTTTAGTATGTAGAAGATAGTTCATACTTGATATAATTTAGACTCCTTTAGGTGTTTTACATATTAGATAACTGATACCTAATTAATATTAATATTCATTAGTATTTGAATTGATGGTAGACTCACAAACCCACAACTATATACTCCGTACAATTTTGAATTCGGGACAACGGGACGGAACGGGACATATTTTATTTGTCCCGGTCCCGTTTTGTTTTGAAACGGTTCGGGACCGGAATGGGACAAAAATAGTTTGTCCCGAATTTAACGGGACAATTTCGGAACGGAACCGGAACGTTCCGGAACGGACTAACGGGATCGGGTCTTTTGCCCACCCCTAATCAGAACCCTCTGTTTTCTGGATCAGCCTCTACTGATTGAACACAACAACTTATTGATCATATTCATACATTTATTTTATCTTCAAAAGAGATGTATCGACCTTTATATTCATACATTTTCATTTTCGATTGCAAATCTCAATGTCAACTCAAACCTGTCACGGAAGAAGCGGAGGAAAATCGACGATTTGGACCGGGATGAGACACAATCTAGTTGTGTGGATGGACACAGGGGGAAGACCCAGGCTGCCCGGCGGATCTACTCATCGAAGCTTGTGGATGTTCTCCGGCAAGTTCGTCGAAGAAATGAGACTTCACTGTCAGATTGGCTTTCTTCTTCTTTCTCTTCACCATTCGTTCTTCTTTACGGGCTCCTTCATCGCCTCTAGTAATCGCTCGTCATTGCTCTTTGAAGGAGAAGGCTGAAGATCAAAGAACTGATTTTTTTTTCCGTTGAGTTGCTTTGAAGAAGGTGAAGCCGCAAGATAGTTTTTGACGTGCGGAAAGTTTTAATGTTTTTGGGGTGCGGGAAGTTTTAATGGTTAGCCGCAGGGTGTTTACATGTGGCGCCAGGGTTTTAAAAGTAAGAGTAAAATGGTCAAATTAATTGTGCTTATGTCCTACGCATGGTTGTAGTCCTAATTTTGTAAATTTCATATGTTTGTGTCTTATTTGTAAAAGAAAAATTCTAAAGGTACACACTTTTTGGTATACACACTTTTTACACATGTCTGTGTAAGGTTTTTTTTATGTCTGTACAGACATAAAAAAAACCTTACACAGACATGTGTAAAAAGTGTGTGCACCAAAAGTGTGTACCCCAAGTCCAACTCTTTGTAAAATTTTCCCCGAAAAGAAAGGGAAATTTGATCAAAATAGATGTACTTAGGTCTTAGGTAAGTATGTAGTCTTAATTTTGAAAAAGTAGCAAGATTATGTCCTAATTGTTGAAATTTCCCTAGATGAAATAACAATTGCAAAATGTAAAATTGCCATAAAATAAATGCTTTAATAACGTAGGAGTACAAGAAAGAAATGGATAACAGGGTAAAATACTAAGGGATGTTTGGATTTGATTCTTAAAACTGCTTCTGCTCCTTCAGAGAGCAGAAGCAGAAGTTAGAGTGTTTGAGTAAAAGTGCATAAGTGATTCTGGTGCTCTAATTTACTTCTAGAATCAGTTTTTTTAGAAGCTGGGGGTGACCAGCTTCTGAAAACTGATTCTGATTCTGCTTCTGCTTTAAAACGGAAGCAGAATCAGAATCAAAATCAGTTCCAAACACCCCAAAATTGACATACGCTTGATGGAAATTAAAGGGCAGAACTTAGACACTAAAACTAGTAACGTTCAAAATCAGTGATTAATTTTAGATCCAATCAAATTCAATAATTTACACAAACAAAACTACAACGTTACTTAATTTGCTCTTAATTCATATCCTTAACGCGACTGTTTGTGAGTGTGCTTATAATCAAAGCGATCACTCAATATTATTCATGATCGAATAAGAATAAATTCAGAACAATATCCAAAAGTAAGATCTTAATTAACTACTTTTGTACATTATTATTCAACTCTTTACTATTGTAGGAGATTTAATTGATGTGTGTGCCTAGATTATTGACAAACAAACACACACATTAATTATACATATTGTCGATGATTAGGAGGCCGCTTGGTAACACTGTTTTTCGGCTTATCAGCCAATTTTTTCACCAAACACGTAACTTTTGTTTTCGCGTGCTGAATTGTGTAATAATAAGAAAAAAAAGGTTGGAGACTTGAAGTTACTTTTCTGGCCGTATTGACTGAAGTCACCGTAGACGACCATTTTAGCTATTTTTAAATATATTTTTTCCTTTATTTTATTAATAAAATATATTTTAAAACTAATTTTTTCCTAAATCAACAGAATAAGCCAATGCAACCACTTCAGCCAGAACTTCATATATTTCAGCTGAATCGGCTGAATCAGTCGATTTTCGTGTTACCAAACGGACTCTAGTTGTCTAAGAAGTTTAGGAGTAACATCTCATCCGACCGGAGGATATTGTCCAGATTTTCGAAGCAGCTATGATACTCAATACTATTATTATCATTGTTAGCTCCTTGAGGATTAAATTGTGTCATTTCTTCAGCAAGTAGTGATGACTCATCCGACCCAGAAACAGTTAAAGATTCATCTTCCTTGTGATAATATTTGTAAAAAGAGGAATGTTCATTCTCTTCCTCTTCTGCTTGAACTTGATTGGGAGGAGCATAATTTGGATCTTCTTTGCAGGTGTGGTTACCAAAGTATGTGGTTTGGTACTCATTCTCTGAAACTCTCTGAACCTGCTTTGTTGCTTTGCACCCTTGGGTGTGCTTGTGGGTGCACCTAAAATAGCACCTGATCATTAATATTTAATACAAATGTATTAGTAATGTTTGTAGTCACATATAATGATATAAATATGTGTCACCATCTTTGATTTACATATGATTGGGATTTGGCTAGCTTGTAACTCTATTCTATCCTCTCCTAAAAAGATTATATTTGACATGAACCCTTTATAGAGGTTGTTATAGAATATTGATATATTTTTGAGAAATTACCATGAATGGTTTCACAAATAATGTTTATTGCTTTTTACACTAATAATCACAATATATTGGGAAAAAGAACTTTAAATAATTAGTGATAATTAGTAATGTCAACTATCTTCCATTAATCAAGAATAATACGAATTTTAGAAATAATTTTTCATAATACCGACTATTATTTGAATATATATATATATATATATATATATATATATATATATATATATATATATATATATATTAAAAGTGATATATATATATATATAGTAAATTTTCACTAAAAATCCAGTTGTTTAACTCATCAAAAACTAATATCAAATAAGTGATTGTATTTCCAAATATCAATTATTTGATGATTTGATATTCTTTTTTGATGTCTTAATTAAATGGCTGAATTTATTGTAGAAAAGTGACTCTTTGATTTTTTATTTATATTCTTGGTATTATTAAAACTCATTTCTAAATTATGTATTATTTAAATTTATTTTCCTAAATATCTTGTTATACTTATACCACATGAAACTGCATCAAAATAGTCGACTTTTATCACAAAGTTACTACGGAGTATCATTTACTCCATATGTTTTTAATCTTTTCTATTACTAAACCAATTTACCAAAAATGTCCGCATTTTTAATTTTAATGAAATTGATTTAGTAAAGTCCTTATAATTTAAGATCATTGCCCAATATTCCATGCACCGACGCACCGTATAGTACTTCTTCCGATCATAACACAGCTATTGGTTAATGTGGTAAAGTGACAATTACTTTTGGGATTTAGACGGCGTGCAACTTTTTGTAATCGCAACATTTATGGTTAGAAAGTATAAATTTGAATTGACATTAAAAATATAATACTGTTATAGTGCTGGTAAGAGCAATTATTATCTACTATGCCCAATATGCTTTTCATACTCCGTGAAACATGCGGCGGACAAAGATAACGACAGAAAATTATCATACTCGGTTACCAATTTGGACCGCTGCAAACAGCCGGAAAACAAAAGGAAACGTTTTACCATTTCAAAATGCAACACTCATGTTTTTATTTCACAAATATGAGTAAGGATGTTTTTACTTGGACGGTAATTTACTGGTCTGGTTTGGTCTGGTCTGGTCTGATCTGAACTGGTCTGGTCTGGTTTCTTTGTATTTTTATAACTATCCAAGTCTAGTCTGGTCTGATTTGGTCTGAACTGGTCTGGTTTGGTCTGATCTGGTCTGATCTGGTCTGGTCTGGGACGAATTACAGTCCAAGTAAAAACATCCTAATAACCGTCAATTTTGACAAATAATGACATGTCTAAAATTTGATAATGTCAAAACATGACAATAGTTACTCGTATTTAAATCAATTTCTTTTATTATATAATTATTAATTAATTAATTAATTACACAATGACGATTATATTGGAAAGTGATCAATTTATTTTGTCCATGTGTAGGAATTGTTGTGCTAAGTTTTGTGCATGTACGGGGTTATTAGATAAATTACCTCGGATATTCTGAATTGAGAATGTGTTTCTGGCCGTATTTTCTCCATGAACAACCATCTTCCATTGGTTTAGACACAATCGTCCACGCCTCGGAAGTTTTTCTGAAAATGAAACAAAAAAATAACGTAATAAAAAAACACGGATAAAGATGAAAAGCTGTACAGTTATAAAATTGTGTGAATTCCCTAAATAAGTTGTCAGATTATAAAATTACGTTATTTCTGGCGATTGGTGATTGTGCCTAGAGTGCAAACGTCGTTCCACGTTCAATCGTTTGCATTACTCGGTTTCAGTTGGTTGCAATGGCGTGGCACGAACAATTTCTATATAAAATTTTGAACTCGAATTAATTAAGTACGTTCTATTTTACGAGTTTGTAATAGAAATGGTGTGTAGAATATGTGGGTGCAAGTGTCTATCCTAAAATCACTTAAAATTAGTTCAAGATCTTAATATAAGATTTATTACTTCTAAAAAAATTCAACACCCATCCTCAGAAATTTAAATTATTAAAATTTATTACCCATTCACAAAAATGATTTAACTTTATCTTCCATCAGTCAACCTTAAAACTCACAAATTGCAATTCAATTCGTGATGTAGTATGATTTTTTGCGCGAAATTTCAAGTGGTACAACCCAATAAACTTAAAAGTATATGGGTTACCGGATTACTTCATTTAAAAGTGAAGCTATCAAAGTACATATACAATTTATTATGTATTTTTTCCAAGCTTAGTATCATCAATTTATTATGCACTACTCTCTCTACATGTGTAAAATACATGAACGCACAAAGGTGTACCTTCTTTTGTAGCACCCTCTGCGAGATTTAGTTGAAGGCTGCTGCGCGGTGTTGTTCTCGACGCGCCACCAGCTGTCGGAGTCTTCCGAGCGCTTCCGATCATCACCGGAGCTCGAGAGATTGTGCAGCTGCGGTGGCGGCGTGTCGAGGCAGTTATTGATCTGGAAGAGGGCATCCGTGAAAGACCTGAAGATCTCAAGAGACAGTTGGGGAACCAATGAGTTGGACGATGCAATATGGTCTATGCTGGGGTTTTGAAGAAGTAGGGTTTGAAGCTGAGTAGCCAAATATTTGCCTTTCACAAGCTCGTCCGCCACTCTTTTCCGACGAGCGTGGTGGTCTAATTCCTGGGCCATCGTTGTTTTGCGCATTTGATGATATACGAGGAAATATATGACTTATAAATGCAGCTGGTCGGCGGGAGAAGGAAAGGGGAAACCAAGTGGCAGGAAATTCATAGGAAGCAAGGAAAAAGGAAAAAACATCAGAGTAATTATTGAAGATGCATGTATAGGATAGGTTAGACACCAAGATAGAAAAATAGATAAGTTCCAAGGTAGATTCTAGATACTCCATATAAAATACATAAACACTACCTTTATCATTAGTATTACTACATTTTATCATCAATAATTATATACAAGTATTTGTGATTAAAATTATAATTGATTTTAAAAATGTGACTAGCGACTATTGTAGCAACTTAATTAATCATAATAACTGATGTTAAATTTTTAATGACTAAATAGTACTATGACGTCGTGATTATTTCTTCTTCTATCATGTAGCTAGTGAATCTAGTTTGGATTGATTTGGTCTGATAGATGTCTGATCTATATATATTTTAAATTTTATAACCGTTACGTTGGTTTGGTATGATGAATTTAAATCTGATTAATCTACTTAAGAATGGTCTTGTATGTTTAATTTAGTCTAAGGGTTATCAAAATAGGACTAAGAGTCACTCACTTTGCACAAATAGGACCAAAAAATAAACTATGTTTTCACAGGACTAATTATGTGTGTCTTGGACAAATAAACCCTTATAGCTATTGAAATGTTTTAATTCATAATAAAATAACAAAAGATAATAAAATTCATAAAAAATACTAAAACATTAATAAAAATATTTTGATAATAATTTATTTATATATTTTTTTCAAAAAAAATAAAAAATAAAATATAAAATAAAAATCTCAAAAAAATAAAATATAATTCACCGCCGCCTATGCCGCCTCTACACCACCACCTCTAGTCACCAGGGGAAAAAAATGTCAAATTCATTACGAATGCCATATTTATGGCAGAAAACAATGAAAATTTTGGCATTCTCAAAGAGAAATATGTCATGTTTTTAACGTTTTCAGAAAAAATGGTAGTTTTTAGGAAAAATGGCATTTTTTCACCGGCCGGAGATGATGGTGCAGGGAGGTAGTATAGGCGGTGGAAAAGGCATCCAATTTTTTTTTAATTTTTTTTATGGAGTTTTACTATTTTTTATTAATTTTTTAAAAAAATAAAAAATGAAAAAAAAAAATTATGTTATAAATATTTTATAAATTTTTTAATTATTTTTCTACGAAAATTTGAATTTTTTCGAATTGATTATGAATTAAACATTTAATTAACTCATATTTAAAGGAAGCGTAAGAATGGAATGAAAAAATAGGTATGTTTCCAATAGAACTAATATGATCCTATTTTGAAAAGAAAAACATAGTAAGTCATATTTTGAGTTTTTGCCATAGTTTTAATCCTATTTGGAGTAATTTTTATTAGTCTAATCTAGTTTAATCTCAACGGAAGTGATCAGTCAAAATAAAAATATGGAATCAGGGAACTGCATGCCGGCTAATCCGGCTATTAATCAAAGATATTTCCTGGATGGTGAGAACAAGGATAAATAAATAAATAAATAAATAATAATAATAATAATAATAATAATAATAATAATAATAATAATAATAATAATAATAATAATAATAATAATAATAATAATAATGACATGATGTCACAATGGCGTATGATTTAGCCATAGCAGTGGCGTCACTTGGCCGTTTTATTATACTCCGTACGAGTAATATAACACTTCATCCTGTCCCAAAACAAATTCACACTTTACTTTTTATGTATGTCCAAAATAAATTTACACTTCCATTTTTTATAACTTTTTTATATAAAATTATTCTTATACCCTTACTTTATTATCTACTTTACACCCATTTTCTCTCTCCCACTACACTTTATCTACTTTTTTGGTGGTATAATGGGAAAGTCAAAACAAAAAATTTCACTTTTTTAAAAATCGTGAAGTCAAACCATGAATTTATTTTGGTGGGAGTAAAACATGAAAATGATTTGAATCAAAGTAAAAGCAAGGAGTCTTTTTCGGAGGAGAGACTTTATTCAAGGAATATAATCATAAAAGTGACACGTTTTTATATTCTAATTAGACATAGATCAGAACATAAACGATCAGACTATCCTATAGTAAAATATAGATAGTAGGTAGAAGTAAGGATGTTTTTACTTGGACATTTATAAAATACACAAAGACTAAACGTTTACCAGATGAGACCAGATCAATTAAGACCAGACGAGATCAGATCATTTCAGAATCAAACCAGACCGGACCCGACCAAAACAAATCACACCAGAAAAATTCAGTTTAAATAAAAAAATCCTAAAATAAATGGACATATTAGTCCACCTATGGGCTATGGTTACGTACAGCACAACAATAAAATTAAACATGACAAAACTGAAGTTTGAGGGACCACCGCTCCGCTTCTTGCTGGTCTTTCGTGTATAGGTACATTTATCGGTCAATTTTATATAAAATATATTATTTCCTTTCTGAAAAGGTTTGTTTTATTGATTTTTCATGATAAAAAATGTGACGGACATTGGACAATGATTAAAATGATTATATTTATATATAATTTCTAAATTTTATACTTCTATGAAAATATTTTGAATAAAAAACATTTTGATATAATTTTCATATTAAAAATAATTTCGTATTAAAAATATCATAGATCAAATTTGATTGACATTCGACAATTAATTTGACCGTCTTCCCGATTGAATTTTTTGTTGACATTTGGTGTGGATAAACTAGACTTGATGAGTAACATTGATAGTCCCAAAATCAATCAACAATCATACAATATAATAGACACAGAGAATCACAAAATGATTTATCAATATTTGAACGATGAACTCCCTCTTCTATATACCGTATAAGCTCTACAAAATGATATGAGCGTAAATAGCTTATGCGAGCCTTAGGGTTTTCTTAAGTTAGCATCCTTTTATACATAAGGATGTCTAACTTAAGGCTTACAAGTGGGCTAATGGGCCGATATACATTTGTGGCCCATATTACACGTTTAATAAATAACTACACAAATACAAAGATATTTAATTAGATTGGACACCATAAAATATTTCCAACAATCTCCCCCTTGGTGTTCAATCGTGTTCAACCAGCATTGCAGCGCGAATATCTTTGTCTTTGTGTTTATTCAGCAATGTAGAGGAGAGCGTAGATAGAATCTGTTGAGTTACTCCTCTTTTGTCTTGATCTTTAGTGCAGCTCAGCTTCCTTGTCTTCATGTTGAACTCGACTTCTAAGGAAGTCTTTCTGAAGAAATCCTTGCAATCTCCCCTTTGATGTCTTCTTGGCAATTTGATCTTTGATGCCGGAGGTTGAGGAATCTTGAAAATTTTGCTTGTAATCTTTGTCTTGCAGAAGCAGCTCTTGATCAGCTTGATTGAAGTCCGAAGGCACCTCTAGAATGAATATTCCGATGATTTCCAGGCGTGCACGGGGTTCATCTTCGGTACATGAGTATCTGACCTTTGTCCCCTCCACAATGTAGTCTTTTTGACTATTTTAAATGAATGATTTTGAGGAGAACCAGTTGGTTGCACAACGGAAAATGATGATTGACTTGTGAGCGTGCTGACTTGCCAATTTGTATGATTTGAGAGAGTAGAGAGTCGTCGTTTTTTGTGGTGGAGGAAGGAAGTGTCCGAGAATGATTTTTGAGAGTAAACAACATGCGGACCACTCTCCCCCTTATGACGATCCGATGAATCAGGGCGTCATGCCTTTAATCTTTTATTCTAGGAAACAAAATAGAAAAACAAGAAGAAAGGTAAAATGATAAAAACCGGATACACTGAGGTGTTCCGTTATCACAACATCAATGTTAACACTGATGAGTGGTCTGTCAACATGATAGAAGCATTAAATCTCTAACAGGACTTCCAACCAGTCATTGTGAAGCATTTAAAGTAGATGTCACTCTGGTTGTTATGGCATGATCATAAAGATCAGCAAATTTAACGAAGCCCCCCGGGGTCATGTAGACGCCCGTTATCATCACTATAGAGATAAACTTTGAAGTGATGGCCTGAACATGTTGATGATTTCCATGTTGCAACACCAAGACTTCCTTCCAATCATCGGTCTTCATCTATAGTAGATGAGCCCTATGGAAGTTCTCGCGTGTCATGAAGACCTGCAACTGACTCTAAAAAGTGTCCATGTCCTAGAAAATTCAAAACATTTTGGAGTGAGATAGCTAGACATTAATGAATGTTCAGTGGCGTGGGGATGTGGGCCACTGTAGTCAGTATCAGTCACCTCAGAAGGAGAGGATGATAAGAGATGAGGTTCCCCGTGAAATATGATTAAACACATGTCTGTTGAGAGACATGTAAGTGGTCTTGGGGAGGGTTGTGCATGCACCGTTTGGACAAAATGCAGCGACTTCTACCCGGGATCTGAATAAATTCAGTCCTAAACCTATGGGGATTGTCCAGAGTATTTGAGTGACTAGGAGTAATTTTCTCGATTGATAGCACAATAGAGGTAGCAGATTTGACAGTGATTATTATTCTCTTGCTCACTTGAGCTTTATGCCTCCTCACTCTCATAGTGTTCACTCAGTTACTCACTCACTCTCGGCTTTGTCCCTTGGGTAGGCTAAGTTGGGTTTACTAAGCCATTGGGACTTATCTCTCATTTCTCTTTGCTCTTTTGTTTTCTGTGCCCCCCCTCAACTGGAGCATTTAGTAGGATGCATTCAACAATGTTTAGCGCATGGGAGGAGAACTTTGAAAACTCCCCCTCAAAATCTGCATCCTTGAGAGAATCCTTGCATGGTAAATTGTTTGGCACTAGGAGGAGAAAAACGAAACTGCCCCTCAAACGTTGCAAGTTGTGTTGTTTGTTACTCGGGGAGTAAAGTAGAAAACTCCCCCTTGGAATGTGCTTTCTTCATTGTTTGGCACCAGGAGGATATAAAAAGAAACACCCCCTCAGAATATGCACTCGTTGTTTGTTCTTGGCACGTGTTGGTGTTAAGGTGTGCATTTGATGATTTTCAGCTCGGTG